GTATCCCAGTATCCCTTCAGATTTTAATTCATTTATCTTTTTTTATTATTATTTTTCAATCTAAGGATACCATTCTCTACCGCTAGGATTTTACTCCCTGCGTCCTACCTCGTAAACCCGTACTTAGCTCGGTGTTCTTCAGGATTTACAATGCATTTTTGGGGAGACTTCGTGGCCTTGGCCCTTTCTTCATTACGGGCCACGGAACAAGAAAGTGAGTACTTTTATCTTGTAAGGAGAAGGAAGAGGAAAATGAGGAGGAGGAGGAGGAGGAAGAGGAAAAGTAGGAGGAGGAAGAGGAAAAGGAGGAGGAGGAGGAGGAGGAGGAGGAGGAGGAGGAACAGGAAAAGTAGGAGGAGGAAGAGGAAAAGGAGGAGGAGGTGGAGGAAGGGGAGGAGGAGGGGGAGGAGGAGGAAGAGTAGGAGGAGAAGGAGGAGGAGGTGGAAGAAGGGGAGGAGGAGGAGGAGGAAGAGGAGGAAGATGAAAAGGAGGAGAAGGAGGAGGAGGAAGGGGGGAAGGAGGAGGAGGGGGAGGAGGAAGGGGAGGAGGAGGAGGAGAAGAAGGAAGAGGAAAAGGAGGAGGAAGGGGGGAAGAGGAGGAGGAAGGGGAGGAGGAGGAAAAGGAAGAAGGGGAGTAGGAGGGGGAGGAGGAGAAAGAAGTAGAGGAAGAAGGGGGGAGGAAAGGAGGAGGAGGAGGAGGAGGAGAAAGAAGGGGAGGAGGAGGAAAAGGAAGAAGGGGAGTAGAAGGAGGAGGAGGAGAAAGAAGGGGAGGAGGAGGAAGAAGAAAAAGAGGAAAGGAAAACAAGGAAGGTAGGAAAGAATGACAAAGGAAGTAGAAAGAGAAGAAAGAAAAAGACAGATTAGAACGAGAGGAAAACTGAAAACGAAATTAAGAAGAGAGGACGATGGAGGAGGAAGAAAAGAAGAAAACAAAAAATCAAATGGGGGAAGAAGGAAACACAAACAAACAGAAAAAAGGGTAATGAAAAAATAAAATAAAAGCCAAAGAAAAAAAAAAGTAAAAGAAGAACTGCAAATAAATAAAAGAAAAAAGAAAAAGACAAAAAGAAATGCAAGCAAGCAAGAACAGGGTTTATCATTACGAAGGTATCGTATCGCTCGTCGTGATCTACAGAAATTGGGTATGCACTTTGCCCCCGTCGCTAGTAAGGCATGACTGACTTAGAAATCCCTGAGCAGAATCTTCTCTCAAAGGCATCATGGGCTTGAACACCTCGATTTGAATTAAGGAGCTGTCTGGTGGAGCTTTGTAGGGAGGGAACTGTGGTTATGTGGTTGTTGTTTTTTTTTTGTTTTGTTTTTGTTTTTTTTGCTTTTCGTTTGATAATGATTAGAATGTGGGGTTATTTTGTATGTTAAGGTTGGTCTTACGTTGAGGTTGTTTGAGGGAGCTTTGTGTGTGAATGGAGGCTGTTTGTAAAGTCGTATATTTTGGATATTTTTTTTTTTTTTTTTTTTTGTAAGTCGAGATTGTTTGTAAATTTATACATTTTTGGATATTTTGTAAGTAAATGTATGGTGTAAGATAAGGTTGTTTGGATATTTTGTAAGTTAGAAATGATCGTGACTCAAGATAGTGATTCATGATTATTTATAAGCCCATATTATCTACAATGTAAAACTCTTTGAATATTTCGTAGATCCAGCCTTATTTGATTATTTTCAAAATAAAGAATGGATATGAGTTAATCAAGATTATTCAAAATCATTTCATTATTTCATATTTTCATTTATATGGAGATGATTCAATACATGTTTGTTTACGTACCTACAAGGAACCTTAACATGCGTTTGATTATTCATATGTAGGTTCAGGGCGACACTTGTAAACAAACAACGTTTTTTTTTTTTTTTTCCTTAAGTCATATCATTACTTTATATATAAAATTCAATCAATTATGTTATGCTATTTTTACATGTAAATATACCTATCGTTATATTACCAGGATTTTGAAACCAAGACATTTTAAAAGTAGGACAACATGACTTGAATAAAAATGCTCTATTGTTCTCTGACAAAAAAAGTAAAAGGTGCAATGTTCAATTTGTAAAATAATTTCAATTTATTTTGCGTGAATAGAATATCAAAGGAAAATAGTTCACATATCAGTAACAGATCTCCTCTTTCCTCTGCTTATCAGTCTATCTGTTTAAATGTGCGTGCGGTTATATATTAATCGAGATACACGCGTTGATACAGATATACAGAAAAAATATATATATTTGAACACACACTTATATATGTATTTAGATACATGTATACATACATAATATATACAGACACACACACTACATTAATACATAACCGCACGCTTATTTAAACAGATAGACTGATAAATAGAGGAGAGAGGAGAACTTTTACTGATATGTGAACTATTCCCCTTTGATATTTTATTCACACACACACACACATACACACACACACACACACACACACACACACACACACACATATATATATATATATATATATATATATATATATATATATATATATATATATATATATATATATATACATATATATCAATATATATATATATATATATATATATATATATATATATATATATATATATATATATACATATAGAGATATTTTTTTTTCAACACCCATTCATTCCACTGCGGGACATAGGCCTTTCTCAATTCAGTATTGAGAGGTTATATGGCAGTATCACCCTTGCCTGATTGGATTGTGCCACGGCGGTGACTTCCCCTACGACACCTGCGTTTGACTTCTCAAGCCAATATGTCGTTTTCTCGGGCTCGAGCTAGCAGTCAGAGCGCAAGCATATTTACGAATGCCGCGACGGGGAATTGAACTCGGGACCACGAGGATCGGAGTCCAGTACTCTAACCACTGGGCTATCGCGGCAGTCATATATATATATATATATATATATATATATATATATATATATATATATATATATATATACATATATATATGTATATATATATATATATATATATATATATATATATATATATATATATATATATATATACATATATATATTTATACACACACACACACACACACACACACACACACACACACACACACACACACACACACACACACACACACATATATATATATATATATATATATATATATATACACACTTTGTAAACTCTTCATACGATGAAGGTCAATGTATAGGTCAATATATCCAAATGGACACAGTAATATCCGATTTTTTTTTTTTTTCGAAATCTCGTTTTATTCCATACCCAATAGTGTAATATCATTTGTAGCTGATATTATTATCTTTATTGTCATCATCATTGTTATTGTTGTTATTATTATTATTATTACTATTATCACTATCATCATTATTATCATTATCATCATTATTATCATTATCATCATTATTATCATTATCATTATTATTATCATTATCATTATAATTATTATCATCATTATTATTATAATTATTATCATCACTACTATTATCATTTTCTATCTATGGCTACGCTTGGAGGCATAAATAATACTACAAATACTTACCAAGAGGGAGAAGAAAAAACTAATGATTACGAGAGAAATTACTATGAAAATAACATTATGAAATTAAGACGCTATGATACGAACAATGATAAGATTTAATGAGAATGTTGAGGATAATGAGGATGATACTCTAAAAATACCTGCTATGATCCTCACAGTAATACCGATTACGAAGATGGCAAACGTTACGGATATCGTGGTAATTATAATGATGACAATGATAATAGTGGTATTGATAACAGTATAAGTATCAATGAAAATACTACTAAGACTAGCAATAATTTAATTGAGTATTATAGATATGTAAACTATAATTGTTGATGATGATAATAGCGATAATGATAACAATATTATTATCTATTCCTATGATTATTCTTATCTTTATCTTTATCATTATCATTACCATTATTGTTATTATTACTATCATTATTATTATTATTATTAATATCATCCTCATCATTATCATTATCATTATCATTATCATTATCATGTTCATAATAATAATTAGGATGAAAGTGATAATGATGACAATACTAATAATAATGGTAACAAAATAGGAATAATAATGATAGAAGTAGTAATATTAATAATAATAATAATATTGATAATAATAATAATAAGGATAATGATGATAATTATAATAAAAATGGTAATAATGAAAATAATAATGATAATAATAATAATAATGATGATAATAATGATAGGGATGATAATTATAATAAGGACAATAATAATGATGATAATCATAATAATAATAGTATTAATAACAATAGCAATAATAATAGTAGTAACGATAATAGTAATAGTGATAGTAATAATAATAATGATAATAATAATAATAATAATAATAATAATAATAATGATTAATAATAATAATCATAATGATAATGACAATAATAATAGCAATGATAATAATGATAACAATGATAGTAATAATAAAAACAATGATGATAACAGTAATAAAAATAATAGTAATAATAATAATGAAAATGATAATAATGATAATGATAATAACAATAATAGTAATAGTAATAATAATAATAATAATAATAATAATAATAATAATAATGATAGTAATGATAATAATAATAACAATAATAATAATAGCAATAATAATAATAATAATAACGTTAAATAATAAAAACGTTAATAATAATAACATTAATTCTAACAATAATGAGAACGACAATAGTAGTAATGATAATGACACTATTAACAATACTAATGATAATAATGATGGTGATGAGAAAAATGATAATAATAACAATAGTGATAACTATAATGTTGATTATGCTATTATAATCTTAATTATAGAGATAATCATAATGATACCAATAATAATGATAGCGACTGCAATGATAATAATGATAATAATAATGATGATAATGATAATAATAGTAATAATATTGATTATGATGATGATATTAATAATAATAATAATAATAATAATAATAATAATAATA